CACCCCACCCCCGCCCTCCAGACCACTTTCCCACTGCTTGCACTGCAAACAGCAACTTTCCCGTGGCATTTATTTTTTACTGGTGAGCCATAAAATCGCCTGCTTGTCCAATTAATGCAAGCATCATTATTTTCATTTACCTTTCACCATCACCAGTGAAGGAAAGAAGAGGGGGGGAAACAGGAAAGCAAATGCATAAAAGAAGCTTCAGAAACAGGAGTTTCAACTAATTTACGAGCCCAGATAAAGGTTAATAGTTAAACTCCTTCCTCTCTCTCCCACCCTCACAATTATTGATGCCCTTAAAGAAATGAAATATTTTTTGTTCTAATTTACCAGAGGCTAGACAAACTGTCAACATCTCCACTTTATTTACGGGTTGAGCAAGAGCAGTTCCTCAAACATCAACATTTTTTACGTTAATCCTGGAGAGAATCCACTTCTCTAAAACTACAAAATGTGCCAACTTCTGTAGTATTTATTTTTAACGAACGAAAGCAAGAGCCTTGAGCTATCCTCCAGTGAGGAGGGAAAGGGGGAAAGTGCAGCTTCACTCTTCCAACTTTAAAGCGCTTTCCCCCACCTTCCCACACTACTCAGCCCCTGATCACTCTCCATCCCACTACCCCCTTCCACCCCCTCAAAAGTTTCCCCTCCGGATCCCCCACCTGCTCCACGTCCAGCGGGATTTCAAGGGAGGAAACAAAATTTGCGAAGTGGTTCCTTTTGGGCGACTTCTTCAACCCGTCTGGAGATTTAAACCTGAAAAACAAACACCTCTATTGAATGCAAACTAAGCTTTGGGGGTTGCCGAGTTAATTCCTCGGCAGACAGCTACTCTCAGTGTCTGGTTACACAAACATACCTACAGACAGGTTGGAGGGGAGTCCTTCAGAAACCAAGGAGAGGCGGGGGGAGGAATAAAATCAAAATAGGCAGAAGGGTTGGAGTGAGGGACTCCGGGGGGCAGCGGGGTAAGTAGGCTGGAGAGAGGGATGATTCGCAGCTGGAGACAGGTTTAATACGCGCCAGTTACAGGGAGACTCAAAGAAAGGGCCAATGCGGGCAGGGTCTGAGACCCCAGAGGTCTCGACTGGGGATGGGGGGAAGGGAGGGGGTGTCCTTTTGGGTGGCGGTAGTAGCAACTTTTTTACAGACAACCTAAATAAAACAAAGGAAGGCACAAACCCGGCCGGCCGCGGAGGCGCGGGCGAGAAGCGGGCTGCTCCGGGGGCGGGCGGCTCCGCGCCCTCCTCCCCGGCACCTCCT